CATCCTAATAATTTCCAACCATACCGGGGGTCGAACCACGGACCTCAGCTGGGGAGCAGAGTACTCTACCAACCCAGCTACAGGACAAAAAAAAAAACCCCCACACGGGCGAAACGTAGATTTCGACCTCTCCACCTGACATTATCATATGATGTCGTAAGAGGCAGGAAAAAAAGTCTGTTTCTGCCCCTGTGTTTGTTGACACAAGTAAATTGTTGGCATTTTACTGAGGCAAAAGTTTCGCCCAAGGAGCTTTGTTAAAACAAGATATTGTAAATTAATGCACGTTTTACTCATTCGTATTCTTTTTTCTAGATTTTCTTGCTCTCTCTCTCTCTCTCCCTGTGTCTTCTAGACTTTCTTGAGAGAGAGAGCGAGAGAGAGCGAGAGAGAGAGAGAGAGAGAGAGAGAGAGAGAGAGGCACAGTAACTGATACACTTGCAGTATTCTCGCTTATCATAGAGTTAATGGTAACCCACTAAGTAGCAATGCTAGTAGCAGCAGCAGTACAAGTAGCAGCGGCAGTAGCAACGGCAGCAGTAGCAACGGCAGCAGTAGCAACGGCAGCAGTAGCAACAGTAGCAGTAGCAACAGTAGCAACAGTAGCAGTAGCAGCAGTAGCAACAACAGCAGTAGCAACAGTAGCAACAGTAGCAGCAGCAGTAGCAACAGTAGCAGCAACAGCAGCAGTAGCAACGGCAGCAGTAGCAACAGTAGCAGTAGCAGCAGTAGCAACAACAGCAGTAGCAGTAGCAACAGTAGAAGTAGCAACAGTAGCAGCAACGCCAAACAGTACACCGGGGAGCGAAACAAAAAGTTTGCAGTAAACACCCAAATAGCAACCCAAAAGGGAGAGAGTAAACAAAAAGTACAAAAAGTAACCGGGAGCGTTTGCAGTCAGCAAAAGTCAGCAAAACAGCAGAAAAGCAGCATAGCAACGGCAGCAGTACAAAGGGCGCAAAAAAGCAAAAATTAGCCCGTAGCCGCAGTAGCAGCGTAGCAACAGCAATAGCCGTAGAAAAAATAGCAAAAAAAGTCAGCGCAAAGTAGCATTTGGGACCGTAGCAGGGAACACAGCCAAAACAGCAGTAGCCAACCCGGAGGGAGTAGCAAAAAGGGAGCAGTAGCACAGAAGGGAAAAGCGTACAGTAGCAAAAAGTTTTCAACGGCAGCAGCAGTAGCAAACAGGGAGCCCAAAAAAAAAAAAATTTGCAGCAGATAAAGCAAAAGCACCCGTTCAAACCCGGGGAAAACAGGTTTGCAAAAAGTAGCAGTGCAACAAGCTAGCAGCAGTAGCAACAGTAACAAATAGCAGCCCCCCCCGTAGCAGCAAACCCGGGGTAGCAAAAGGCCCAGTTTGCAACATTTCATTTGCCCGCATTTGCAGTACCAGAGTAGCAAAACAGCAGTACAGTACAACAGTACACAGCATAAACAAACACAGGGAGCAATATAGCAGTCCCGGGGTAGAACAACAAACAGCCCGGGAGTAGCAACGGGCCCCCAGTAGCAACAGTAGCAGTAGCAACCGTAAAACAACCTGTAAACAGCAAACAGAAACCCAAAATTATAAACAGAGCAAACGTAAACAGCAACAGCCCGCAGTAGGCCCAAAGGGGGGAGCAGTACAAAAGTAGCAGTAGGGAGGGATAGCACAGGTAGCAAAAAGTAAACACAGCAGTAGCCCAAAAGTAGCAGTAGCAGCAAATAGCAACAACAGAGGCAACGGCCGCAGAAACAACAGCACAAAAAGTAACAACAACCCGCAATTCAACAACAGCATAGCAACCCGGGAGGGAGTACAACGGGAGCATTGCAACAGCAGCAACTTTGCCACAACAGCATTTAACAACAGCAAAGTAGCAAAACCCCCAGCAGTAAACAACAGCAGGGAAAAGTAACAAAAAACAGGGAGTAGCAACAGCAGAAATAGCCCCAGTAAACAGACCCGCAGTAGCAGATATGCCAGGGCAACAACAGCCCCGTAGCCAGTAAAAACAAAAAGTGAGCCCAGGAGTTTGAACAGTAGCTTAAACCGCAGTAGCAACAACGGGGAGAGTCAACCCGCAGCAGTAGCAACGGAGCAGTAAGAAAAAGCAGCAACAGTAGCAACATCAGCAATTTGCAACAAAAGCAAATAGCAACAGCAGCATAGCAACAGCAAGCACCCGTAGCAACAGAGCAACCCGTAGCAAAAAACAAACAGTAGCAAACAGGGAGCAGTAGCAAAAAGAGCAGTAGCAGCAGTTTGCAAAAACAGCAGAAACAAAAAGTAGCAAATAGCGTAGCAACAGTACATTAACAAACCGTTTGCGTAGCAACAGTAGGCAAACAGCAGCCCGTAGAAAAGGGAGCAATTTGCAGCAGTTCAACAACGCAAATTAAAAGTAGAAAAATAGAAGTAGAACAAATCACAAACAGCAGCAGAGCCAAACGGCAAACCCGTAGCAACAGTACAGTAGCAGCAGTAGCAACAACACATAGCAGTTTGCAACAGTAAACACAGTAGCGCAGCAGTAAACCAAATGCAGCAGTTTTTAAACAAAAAACAGCAAAAAGGGAAACAGTAGCAACGGGAAACATAGCAACATGCTAAGAGAGCAGTACAGCAATAGCAAAAGCCAGTAGCGTTTGCATCATTTGAACAGGAGCCGCAGCAGTAGGGGAGTTTGCAGCAGTAGCAGGAACAGGGAGCAGTAGCCGCGCAGTAGCAAACAGTGCATTAGCAGCCCGTAGCAACAAAAGGCAGTAGCAGTAGCAAAAAAGTAGCAGCCCGCAGTACAACAGTAGCATTTGCAGCAGTAGCAGCAACAGCGCAAATTTGCAACGGCAAACAGTAGCCCAAAAATAGCCAAATAGCAAAAGTACAGGGAGGGAGTAGAACAGAAACAGTAGCCAAACATAGCAGCAACGCAGCAGTCCAAAAGGCACAGTAGAAAAGTTGCCAGTTAAACGCAGTAGCAGTAGCACATAAGCAAAAACAGCATAGTAAGTAGCAAAAAAGTAGCAGCGCAGTTTCACAAACGTAGCAAAAAAAATAGCAAATAGAGCAGTAGCAGCAACAGCCCGCGTAGCAAAAAGGCAGCATTTGCAACAGTAGCCAATAGCAAAAAGTAAACAACAGTAGCAGGCAAATTTGCAAAATTTGACATTTGCAGGCAGGGAGAACAACGCAGCAGTAGCAAACGGCGCCAAAATTTTAAAAGTACAGTGCAGCAGTAGCCCGCAATAGCAGCAAAATAACAGCATTTGCATTTGCAAAAAGTTAGCAGCAGCAGTAAAACAACCGTAGCCCGTAAAACAGCAGTTGGCAACAACACAGGAAACCCGGCAAACAGTAGCAACAGCCAAAAGTCAACAACAGCAAAAGGCCCAAAAACAAACAGTTGCAACAGCAGAGTTTCCCAAAAGGACGCAGTGCAAAAGCAGCAACCGTAAAAACAACAAGCAAAGGGAAAAGCCGCAGTAGCAACGGCCCGCATGTAACAAAACACAAACCCGTACAAAACAGGCATTGCAAAAGCCGTGGAAACAACAGTACGTGCAGCGTAGCAGTAAACAACAGTAGCAACAACAGCAGTTGCAGTAACAACCCGTACACAGCATAGCAACAGTAGCAGAAACATAGCAAAAAGTAGCCGTTGCACATAAAACCAAAAAAACAGCAGTAGCCGTTTGCAACAGTTTTGCAGCAGCATTTGCAAAAAAGTAGAGTAGCAGCAGTAACCAAAAAGCCCGTAGCAGTTTTCAACCCGGGGCAGTAATTGGGAGTAGCAACAAAAAGCAGTTTGCAAATAGCAACAGGTAGTAGCCGCGTAAACAACCAAACAAAGGGAGCAGTAGCCCAAAAGTAGCAGCACAAATAGAACTTAAACCGCAGCATTTTGCAAAAAGTAGCCCGTAGAGCAGTAGCAAACAACAGCGTGCCAAAATGCACAGTAGGCCCAAAGGTCCCGATACAACAGCAGCAAAAATAGCAACAAAAGCAATAGCAACAACAGCAGTAGCAACAGCAGCAGTAGCAACAGCAGCAACAGTAGCAACAGCAGCAACAGTAGCAACAGCAGTAGCAACAGCAGCAGTCTCAAACAGTTAGCAGTAGTCAGCAGCTAGTAGCAGCAGTAGCAACAACAGCAGTAGCAACAGTAGCAGTAGCAGTAGTAGCAACAGTAGCAGTAGCAGCAGTAGCAACAACAGCAGTAGCAACAGTAGCAGTAGCAGCAGTATCAACAGCACAGCATCACTCACATCTACCTTTCCATCTCAGGTGGAGCGGGATGCTGCTTACAGATCACTGGCATTAAAGCTCCTAGACTCGTCCTCACTGGGGAGCGTGTCCACCTGTCGTGCTCCTTCAGACTTGATGGCGACACACTCTACTCTCTCACCTGGTGGAAAGACGACAAGATCTTCTACAGATTTATTCCCAAGAGCAGCCCACCAGGTGCTGTCTTCCCTCTACCTGGCATCACTGTTGATGTGAGTCCTGACATCACCAGTAGAGTTCCTGCAATCTCAATTATTCTTTTCCCAGGGTCACCACTTCTCATAGAAGTGTGTATATGTGTGTGTGTGTACTCATCTAGTTGAGGTTGCAGGGGTCGAGTCCAAGCTCCTGGCCCCGCCTCTTCACTGGTCGCTACTAGGTCACTCTCCCTGAACCGTGAGCTTTATCATATCTCTGCTTAAAGCTATGTATGGATCCTGCTTCCACTACATCGCTTCCCAAACTATTCCACTTACTGACTACTCTGTCACTATGTGTGTGTGTGTGTGTGTGTGTGTGCTCACCTAATTGTGGTTGCAGGGGTCGATTCATAGCTCTTGGGCCTGCCACTTCACTGGTCACTGCTAGGTCACTCCCTGCTCAGTGAGCTTTATCATACCTCGTGTGTAATAATAACTGCGAACGAGCGATAAAAGATACAAAATAACCACAGGATGGGTTAACTGATAGTTCTGGACCTTTCTTGTTACCATCAATACATCACGTTGAAGAAATGAGAAGTAAGTCCCGGCAAAATTTGTTTCCCCGAACGAATCTGCAAGCTCTGGAATGTGAAAAGCAACCCCGGAAAAGGGCCCGAGCTATCTCCCCCCGTGGTTTTTTGTGGTTTTTTGTGCCCAAGCGGGGCCCGGGGGGGGGCCGGAAAAGGGGAGAAAAGCAAAAAGAGAAGAGAGGGGAAGGGGGGAGAGAAGAGGGGGAGAGTGGGGTGAGATAAAAATTTGAGAGAGAGGGGAGAGGAAAACGGAGAGGAGAAGGAATTGAGGCCCAAAAGGGGGGGAAGGGAGAGAAGGGGGAATTCTTTTTTCTCCTAAAGGGAGAAATTTTCCAGCCTACATCGGGACATATCAAAAGGTAGACCACCCCCGCCTCGGGGAAGCTGCGCTGGGGAAGTCCCCGGGTGACTCGCCCCAACTTTGAACAAGCCATGGACTTAACCTCACCTTTATTTGGTTGTTCCTGTCACCCGACCCTTCTAAAAAATCCGACCCGAGAAGGTTTCCCCACAAATTTCAAACTTGTTTGTGCAAATGGATGTTTCCCTTTCAAAAAATTTTTCAAAGGGGGTGGAAAAGGGTTTTGACCCCGGGAAGTCCCCCGTTTGAGAACCAAAAGCTGTTGGGCCATATATAAAACCCCGTTTAGGGAAAACTTGTCTGTTTCCTGAACCCAAAATGGTAACCTTAGTCCCAGAATAATTAACTACCCTATTTGTAGATGAATGGTTCAGAGAACCGACCTGTTGATAAATTAGACACATGTGCAACTCTTGGGTATCTTATTGAGGAAACGTTTCGCCCACAGTGGCTTAAATCAGTCCATTCTACTCAAGATTGATGGACTGAACACATCGACTCAAGGTTGAGGGACTGATTACCTCATTCTCCTCCTGTTCTTCAAGTTTCTCCTATGTATGGACTGATGAAGCCACTGTGTGGCGAAAACGTTTCCTCAAAAAGATACCCAAGAGTTGCACATGTGTCTAATTTATTAACTACATGTAATAAACACTGATCAACACCCCAGGGCAAAACTTTTCACCCCTCGCAGTTTCATTACTCCCAAAAAACCCGCTCGGGGAGAAACTTTTCCCTTAATACATATCCAGGACCGTACATATAGACTACACACAAGCATTCAGTCACTGCCTTATTAATCTAAAGACAGGTTTAAAACCGGCTGAAATGCCCTAGGTATTAACAGGCTTCCTGCCTGTTAATACCTAAATGTCATCCATCTTGGTATAGGCACTCTGTCATCCTGAAATATCTTTAATCTTTAATGGCGAGCATAAAAATGATATTATTTCCCATATCTGACAGCTAAGCCTGAGAGTGGGCCCAGCTTGACCGGGGTCCAGGGGCCCTATACCGTGGGCCACTTACTACTAGTCAACTGTTCCTCACCCTTCTCGTACCCTCCCACTACCCTCACCTGGCACATAAATGGTCACCAGGTGAGTCTTGTTAAGGTGAGTCACTAGATGAATCACTGAGTCACTAGATGAGTTAGAAATACTTATATTATTAACGCCTCAGACGTTTCGCCCACTAGAGGACTTTCCCGATCGAGTTTCCTTTGATAAACGAGATACTTGGGCAACATTTTGGTTATTTTTAATCTGGAAACGTTTCGCCAGCCAGCGACTTCTTCAGTCCAATACAGAGAACAATGGAAGATGGGGAATTTGAGGGGTAATCAGTCCCTCAGTCTTGATAAGACTGATTACACCAATCCCAGACTGAGGGACTGATTAACTCAAACTCTCCCTGATATTCGCCATTCGTCTTCGTATTGGACTGACGAAGCCACAGTGTGGTGAAATGGTCCCATAATCAACATACCCAAGCGTTGCACGTGTGTCTAATGACCTTCGTACCCACAGGCATCACATGCCACTGTGGTACAGTACCCAGGAAAGACAGACGGTGAGGGTCTGGAAGCGTCCTGGTCTGGTCTACACATGTGCCTACAGAAAGAACACTTCCAGGAGGGTGTGCTGGTCCTCAGATGCACAGCCTCCATCCTTAACGTGTACAAGAAATCCTCTCAAGTCACTATATTCGACTCAAGATATGAGGGCAGTGACCCTCCTGAAGGCGAGTCTACGGCAGGTCAGTTGACGAACAGTGAAGGTGCAAAAATAACATTCTCCAGGTCACTGTGTGTCACACACACCTTATTCTCTGCCTAAATAACATTCTCCAGGTCACTATGTGTCACACACACCTCATTCTCTGCCTAAATAACATTCTCCAGGTCACTATGTGTCACACACACCTTATTCTCTGCCTAAATAACATTCTCCAGGTCAGTGTGTGTCACACACACCTCATTCTCTGCCTAAATAACATTCTCCAGGTCACTATGTGTCACACAAACCTCATTCTCTGCCTAAATAACATTCTCCAGGTCACTATGTGTCACACACACCTCATTCTCTGCCTAAATAACATTCTCCAGGTCACTATGTGTCACTCACACCTCATTCTCCTCCTAAATAACCTTCTTAAGGTCACTATGTGTCACTCACACCTCATTCTCCTCCTAAATAACATTCTCCAGGTCACTATGTGTGACTCACGCCTCATTATCCTCCTAAATAACATTCTCCAGGTCACTATGAGTCACGCCTCATTATCTTCCTAAATAACATTCTCCAGGTCACTATGAGTCACGCCTCATTATCCTCCTAAATAACATTCTCCAGGTCACTATGAGTCACTCACGCCTCATTATCCTCCTAAATAACATTCTCCAGGTCACTATGAGTCACTCACGCCTCATTATCCTCCTAAATAACATTCTCCAGGTCACTATGTGTCACTCACACCTCATTCTCCTCCTAAATAACATTCTCCAGGTCACTATGTGTCACTCACACCTCATTATCCTCCTAAATAACATTCTCCAGGTCACTATGAGTCACACCTCATTCTCCTCCTAAATAACATTCTCCAGGTCACTATGAGTCACTCACGCCTCATTATCCTCCTAAATAACATTCTCCAGGTCACTATGTGTCACTCACACCTCATTATCCTCCTAAATAACATTCTCCAGGTCACTATGTGTCACTCACAGCCTCATTATCCTCCTAAATAACATTCTCCAGGTCACTATGAGTCACACACACCTCATTATCCTCCTAAATAACATTCTCCAGGTCACTATGTGTCACACGCTCATTCTCCTCCTAAATAACATTCTCCAGGTCACTATGTGTCACTCACGCCTCATTATCCTCCTAAATAACATTCTCCAGGTCACTATGGTCACACCTATTTCCCCTAAATAACTTCTCCAGGTCACTTGGTCACCCCGCCCCATTTCCCCTAAAACATTCCCAGGTCACTATTGTCACTACGCCTCATTTCCTCCAAAAAAACATTCTCCAGGTCACTAGGCCTCCCCAGTTTTCCTCCTAAAATAAC